TTTATTTTTTGTTGTTGTTTTGGTTTGGGTTTTTTTGGAAACAGAGTTTCTCTGGAGCCTTAACTGAACCTCGATCTGTATACCAGTCTGGCCACAAACTCACACAGAGATATATGCCTGCCTCAGCCTCCCAAGTGAAGGAATGAAAAGAGTATGCCACCATCATCTGGCCAATAAATGTATTAAAAGAATTTAAAATTACAAAAGAAAAGAGCAAGGGCTTTCTTCCATAGGAGATAGTAAAAGGCAGAATTTTTAAAAACTACATATATTTACTTATGTATCATAATAAACGTAGTACATGTTTGTACCACCATAAATTCATGTGGTGGCAGGACAACTTACAGGACTTGGATACATGTATAAAATTGAAGGTTTCAGGCTTGGCAACAAGCACCTTAACCCAAAGGTAGAATTTTTTGTTATGGTTTGTTTGTTTGAGAAAGGGTCTCACTGTGTAGTTCTGGCTGTCCTAGAATTCACTATGTAGACCAGACTGGCCTCGAACTCACAGATATCTGACTACTTCTGCCTCCCGAGTGCTGGTATCAAATGATTGTATCACCATGCCCGGCTCCAAAAGTAGAATTCTTAGTCCGGCAGTGGTGGCACATGCCTTTAATCCCAGCATTCAGGAGGCAGAGGCAGGCTGATCTCTGTGGGTTTTAGACCAGCCTTGTCTACAAGAGCTAGTTCCAGGACAGCCTCCAAAGCCACAGAGAAACTCTGTCTCAAAAAAACCAAAAACAAAACAAAAGAATTCTTTATGAAGAAGTTGGGACAGACTCTAGTGAGCTTGTTAAAAAGCTAATCCCAAACCGGGCTTTGGTGGCGCACGCCTTTAATCCCAGCACTCGGGAGACAGAGGCAGGCGGATTGCTGTGAGTTTGAGGGCAGCCTGGTCTCTAGAGCGAGTGCCAGGATAGGCTCCAAAGCTACACAGAGAAACCCTGTCTTGAAAAACAAAAAAACAAAAACAAAACAAAACAAAAAAAAGCCAATCCCTTAGAGAAGGACCTGTTCTAGACTTCTAGAGATCAATAAAATTGATTGGACCCTTAAACTGATCTCTGTAGACATTTCAAATAAGGTTAACTTAGGACCAAGGGCTTCTAGGAACACACAGCAGAGGTTTAGACCAATATCTTAGCCTGCCTGATGGGACAGACACACCTCTTACTACGTCCCTCCATTCACAGCCACCTGAGAAATGGGCACACACTATACAACAGATTTAGGAAAACTCACCTTCAGTTAACCCAGAGACTCTCAAACTTCAATCATTTGTTCAGTTTAGCCAGGTGTGGCTGTGAATTGCATGTCTGTGTCTAGTTCTCAAGTGACAGACACAGAGTGATCAATACAAGTGACAGTTCATCCTGGTACACAGTGAACTCCAGGTCAGCCAGGACTACATAGTGAGAACGTAACTCAAGACGATAAAAAACAACCTAAATCAATCAATAAAAATTACTTCTCCCAAAGGGCTGGTGGGGGCACACTACTTTAACCCCAGTACTCAGGAGGAAGAGGAAGGGAGATCTCTGTAAGTTCGAGGACAGCCTGGTCTACAAAGTGAGTTCCAGGACAGCCAGGACCTTTATACAGAGAAACCCTGTCTCGAAAAAAAGAAAGAAAGGAAGGAAGAAAGAAAGAAAATAATAATAAAGAAAAGTGACTATGGTCCTGTTCATGCTTAGGAGATTTAGGCATGAAAATAAGAGTTCAAGGCCAGCCCCAGCTACACAGCAAGTTAAAGATTAGCACTCTAAGCTTAAAAAAAAAAAAAAAAAAACCTTGTCTCAAAACAAATAAGAATAAACAAAGCAAGCTGGACAGATGAAAAGCATCTCTACTCTCAGCATTAGGGAGAGGGAATTTGAATTGCCACAAGTTAGAGACCAGCCTGGTCTAAACATTAAGTCCCAGGATCATACGAGACCCAATTTCACAAACAAAATAGCAGCAAAGAACAAAAGAGAGCAAAGTAGGAATTATCCACATCTCTCAAATCTGTATTCCTCTTTAACCTCTTTTTTTTTAAATTATTTTATTTTATGTATGTGCATTGGTGTTTTAGCTGCACGTATGTCAGTGTGAGGGTGTCAGATCCCCTGGAACTGGGGTGACAGGTGTGAGCAGACATGGGTGCTGGGAATTGAACCTGGGTCCTCTGGAAGAGCAGTCAGTGATCCTGACCTCTGAGCCGTGTCTCTCCAGCCCCCAACACTAGTCACAGTATTGAAATCTGACATTGCTCCCCTTTATTCTGCTGTGAGAGACACTGGTGGTTTTCTGTAGCCATTTGCTGCTGTTATTGGGTTTCTTTTGTTGTTTTTGAAGCAGGGTCTAGACATGTAGCCAAGGCTGGTCTCAAATTCTAAAATTGCCTGACTCAGCCTTCTACATGCTGGCTTTCTGGGCATGCCCATAGAGATGTTGGTTTTATCAAGAATGGTGGCTGCTTCTGACTGGGAACAGAGACACCAGTGGGCAGCAGGGGGGGGGCTTTTTTTTTTTTTTTTTTTTTTTTGGTTTTTCAAGACAGGGTTTCT